GATCATGTCTCCAGCAGACATTCTACGGATTGTCCCATGTTAACCCTGGATCTGGACATGCCCGTACTGGTTTCTGAACCCTATTTGAACTCTATTCTCTGCTTGGAGTTGTTGGTCTGTACTCTAGGTAAGCCTGTGTTGTTAATAATAAATTGTTTGTCTACATCTACCAGTCTGTCTATTGTGGCTGGGTCCTACCTCTCAGTTAGCTATCTCTTTTTAGGAACATGAAGTCATGGTCTTTGGGACTAGTATAAACCAGTCTCATCTGTAAATAAGCAGGAACACAGAACAGCTGAACAGTAAATGCAAACACTCCTAACACAATTAAGTCAGGATGTACAGAAGTATACCTCAGATTTGTCATGTCAGTACTATAACATCGTCAAACTTCCAATTCTAGGAAGATGGAATGTTGTGCTAGATGTCAGGACATCTTTTGACCTGCACATCATCAAATCAGTGCTTCCTGGCAGTTTGATATTACCTTGTAGTGAAAGAGAAAGAGACCACAGAAGAGGCTGTATAGGTCAGCTGTAAGCAGAGAGAGATTGACTGAGGTGGCACTCGTCCTCTTCACCACCACTGGCATGAAGCTGTACAGGATGAACATGAAGGCACTGAAACCAACATAGAGAAGACCTGTAAACACACAGAAACACACATGAATAATTTGAATTGCTTGTAAATTACATTCTGTGGTACAGTGGGTACGGAAAGTATTCAGACCCCCTTAAATTTTTCACTCTTTGTTATATTGCAGCCATATGCTAAAATCATTTAAGTTCATTTTTTTTCCTCATTAATGTACACACAGCACCCCATATTGACAGAAAAACACAGAATTTTTGACATTTTTGCAGATTTATTAAAAAAGAAAAACTGAAATATCACATGGTCATAAGTATTCAGACCCTTTGCTGTGACACTCATATATTTAACTTAGGTGCCGTCCATTTCTTCTGATCATCCCTGAGATGGTTCTACACCTTCATTTGAGTCCAGCTGTGTTTGATTATACTGATTGGACGTGATTAGGAAAGCCACACACCTGTCTATATAAGACCCTACAGCTCACAGTGCATGTCAGAGCAAATGAGAATCATGAGGTCAAAGGAACTGCCTGAAGAGCTCAGAGACACAATTGTGGCAAGGCACAGATCTGGCAAAGGTTACAAAAAAAAAAAGAATTTACCACCATGCTTCACTGTTGGGACTGTATTGGACAGGTGATGAGCAGTGCCTGGTTTTCTCCACACATACCGCTTAGAATTAAGGCCAAAAAGTTCTATCTTGGTCTCATCAGACCAGAGAATCTTATTTCTCACCATCTTGGAGTCCTTCAGGTGTTTTTTAGCAAACTCCATGCAGGCTTTCATGTGTCTTGCACTGAGGAGAGGCTTCCGTCGGGGCACTCTGCCCTAAAGCCCCGACTGGTGGAGGGCTGCAGTGATGGTTGACTTTTTACAACTTTCTCCCATCTCCCGACTGCATCTCTGGAGCTCAGCCACAGTCATCTTTGGGTTCTTCTGTACCTCTCTCACCAAGGCTCTTCTCCCCCGATAGCTCAGTTTGGCCGGACGGCCAGCTCTAGGAAGGGTTGTGGTCGTCCCAAACGTCTTCCATTTAAGGATTATGGAGGCCACTGTGCTCTTAGGAACCTTAAGTGCAGCAGAATTTTTTTTTTGTAACCTTGGCCAGATCTGTGCCTTGCCACAATTCTGTCTCTGAGCTCTTCAGGCAGTTCCTTTGACCTCATGATTCTCATTTGCTCTGACATGCACTGTGAGCTGTAGGGTCTTATGTAGACAGGTGTGTGGCTTTCCTAATCACGTCCAATCAGTATAATCAAACACAGTTGGACTCAAATGAAGGTGTAGAACCATCTCAGGGATGATCAGATGAAATGGACAGAGCCTAAGTTAAATATATGAGTGTCACAGCAAAGGGTCTGAATACTTATGACCATGTGATATTTCAGTTTTTCTTTTTTAATAAATCTGCAAAAATGTCAAACATTCTGTGTTTTTCTGTCAATATGGGGTGCTGTGTGTACATTAATGAGGAAAAAAATGAACTTAAATGATTTTAGCATATGGCTGCAATATAACAAAGAGTGAAAAATTTAAGGGGGTCTGAATACTTTCCGTACCCACTGTATGTCTGTTTATGTATCCAAGTTCTTTGTTTGTCTGTGTTTGTGTGTGCATGTGCATTTTCACCTATCTGCCAGTCCCAAGGTACCTTCAGTAGCTCCTTGTGCTCCATGATGGCTCTGCAACAAAGCACAAACACATTAGATTGAGGCTCAATCCCATTTCTTATATTAACCCCTACCTACCCCTCATTTTTGACTACTCCCACAATTTTGAGTTTGAGTTAACCCTCAAAACAGAGTTGCAAGGAGTAGTGGTTGAAATCTTCCCCTATGAAATGGGACAATCCTTCAAAACCTTTATACATCATCTGTAGTTAATAATAATAAGGATAATCACCTTTATTTGGCCACGTATGGTACACCCAAGAAATATGTTTCCGGTACAGAACCGAGGCAGCCATCTGCGGTGCCAACTCAACCGATGGCTCTAACAATTCAGTTCAGTGTCTTGCCCAAGAACACTTTAACAAGTAGACTGCAGGCACCAAGATTCAAACCTCTGATCTTCTGGTTGGGAGACGACTGCTCTACCTACTGAACCACAGTCACCTTTGTTAATGATAATGGTTGTGTAAACAGAGTTGTTGTTGGAATTTTTGATTTCCAGAGTGCCATGGTCAGCTGCAGCAGTTTAGTTTCCATGATCTCTTCGCATCAGTTTGTGAACTTCAACAGCAAATAAGAAAAATGTAAGGAAAAATGTTTTTGACACCAGGGAATGTTGGTGTAGTTTGAAATGTGTAGCATCAGCAGTAGGCAACTTTTATTTTATTTAGCCTCATACCGCTTGGTTTTGAGTCTGCCTCTGAAAGTGCTCTGTTTGAAGAGCAGAATCTGGTTATCCCTACCGAAAGAGGCATGCAAAATGGAGTGGTGGAATGGAGTAGGGCTAAGTGGCATGGGCAAGGGGTGAATTGGGATTGGGTCTTTGCACTGAGATTTTAAAAAGTAACAGTGGCAGTAAAGATATCTGACAATGCTGATACCAAATTTAAGTAGATAATTCTATCATTATTTACTTTAGTGTCATGTGCCAACACAGTGGAGGGCGGCCAACTTAACTTTACTTCCACACAAGTCAATAATTTTGTTGATAGTGCTGCAGCCTCCATGCAAACGACACTTGATACTGTTGCCCCTCTGAAAAAGAAGGCAGTGAAACCCCATGGTACAGCTCACAGCTCCACTCCCTAAAGCAGGCATCAGAATAACTGGAAAGGGGGTTGTGCTCCATTAAGTCAGAAGAGTGTTTCCTAGCCAGGAAAGATAGTTTAATAACATATAAAAAAGCCCTTTGTTGTGCCAGAACCGCATATTATTCATCCATTGATAGAGGGAAATAAGAACAACCCCAGGATTTTTTTCAGCACTGTAGCCATGCTGACAAAGACACACAGTGCTGTTGAACTTAATATTTCCTTAGATCTCATTAAACTGTAAATATACTTAATGACTTGCCACCATTGCCCAGCTCTAATGAGGTATGTCTCTCCCCCGACACAAACTCACAGCTGGATGCCGCTGAAGAAGGATCCAAAGAGTCCCATCATGCCAAGGAACTCCACACGGCTCAGGTTCTTCACGATGAACTCCTCGCAGACGTTGGAGATCCCGTACAGGGTTGCTCCTCCCAGAACCAAAAGATCCCCAAACAGTTTCTGCTCTCCTAGACAAATTAAGGAGAACAAGAGGAAAGGAAAAAAAAGGAGCAATACTTATTTGGCAAGTTCCTCGTGTCTGAGTGTGTATTTGTACAGACATAGAAAATGTTTGTTTTACAATGTCAAACAAAATATTATTTGTATCTCTGGGCTTAGATGAGCTAACTGCAATCAAATGCACATTTGTAGCACTGTGCACTATAAGAGTATGAGTGTGTGAATACTCACCAAATCCTTGCTGCCGACCAAGTAGGATGTCAGCTCCTACCATGCACCCGATACCCAGAAGACACAGTCCTACCCCAACAAAGTGAACAGCTTTGTACCTCACCAAGAGAAAGAACCAGGAAAGCAGCAGGACCACTGGGATGACAAAACAGTCTAACAGCTGAAAGGAAGGGCAGAAACACATAGAACAAAAACATACACAGTGACTTCAGTTGTTTCTTATTCCTAGGTGGGTTTATCACTTTGGCAGAGCATCAGACTGGTGACCAGCAACAGAACTGCTAACCATGCCATGCTGTGCTTCTCTCAGAGGTTGCGGGTGTCCGCTGACCTCCACAGGAGGACTGGAGTGCTACAAAGGGACTCAAATGGCTCTATTTTCCTGTGAAAGGGCACAGCACTTAACTTGTGTCTAACTCCAGGTGCAAGGCACATTTGGACATTTTTAACAATGTTGTGCAAATTTGGTGACCACAGATGCAGTGCACTTTCTTGTCAGACATTACCAGGCTCATTGTGGAGGACAGGCGGAATATATTATTATAGGAAGGAATACTGTACATGGTGAGTAGGTGGAGTCTGGACTGGCTTTAGTTATGTCCAATCACATCAGCTCCTCTGATCCCTTTTAAAGAGCATGACAAGAACCTGACTGATGTCAGGACATGGACACATACAGTGCCTTGCGAAAGTATTCGGCCCCCTTGAACTTTGCGACCTTTTGCCACATTTCAGGCTTCAAACATAAAGATATAAAACTGTAATTTTTTGTGAAGAATCAACAACAAGTGGGACACAATCATGAAGTGGAACGAAATTTATTGGATATGTCAAACTTTTTTAACAAATAAAAAACTGAAAAATTGGCCGTGCAAAATTATTCAGCCCCCTTAAGTTAATACTTTGTAGCGCCACCTTTTGCTCCGATTACAGCTGTAAGTCGCTTGGGGTATGTCTCTATCAGTTTTGCACATCGAGAGACGGAAATTTTTGCCCATTCCTCCTTGCAAAACAGCTCAAGCTCAGTGAGGTTGGATGGAGAGCATTTGTGAACAGCAGTTTTCAGTTCTTTCCACAGATTCTCGATTGGATTCAGGTCTGGACTTTGACTTGGCCATTCTAACACCTGGATATGTTTATTTGTGAACCATTCCATTGTAGATTTTGCTTTATGTTTTGGATCATTGTCTTGTTGGAAGACAAATCTCCGTCCCAGTCTCAGGTCTTTTGCAGACTCCATCAGGTTTCCTTCCAGAATGGTCCTGTATTTGGCTCCATCCATCTTCCCATCAATTTTAACCATCTTCCCTGCCCCTGCTGAAGAAAAGCAGGCCCAAACCACGATGCTGCCACCACCATGTTTGACAGTGGGGATGGTGTGTTCAGGGTGATGAGCTGTGTTGCTTTTACGCCAAACATAACGTTTTGCATTGTTGCCAAAAAGTTCGATTTTGGTTTCATCTGACCAGAGCACCTTCTTCCACATGTTTGGTGCGTCTCCCAGGTGGCTTGTGGCAAACTTTAAACGACACTTTTTATGGATATCTTTAAGAAATGGCTTTCTTCTTGCCACTCTTCCATAAAGGCCAGATTTGTGCAGTATACGACTGATTGTTGTCCTATGGACAGAGTCTCCCACCTCAGCTGTAGATCTCTGCAGTTCATCCAGAGTGATCATGGGCCTCTTGGCTGCATCTCTGATCAGTCTTCTCCTTGTATGAGCTGAAAGTTTAGAGGGACGGCCAGGTCTTGGTAGATTTGCAGTGGTCTGATACTCCTTCCATTTCAATATTATCACTTGCACAGTGCTCCTTGGGATGTTTAAAGCTTGGGAAATCTTTTTGTATCCAAATCCGGCTTTAAACTTCTCCACAACAGTATCTCGGACCTGCCTGGTGTGTTCCTTGTTCTTCATGATGCTCTCTGCGCTTTAAACAGACCTCTGAGACTATCACAGTGCAGGTGCATTTATACGGAGACTTGATTACACACAGGTGGATTCTATTTATCATCATTAGTCATTTAGGTCAACATTGGATCATTCAGAGATCCTCACTGAACTTCTGGAGAGAGTTTGCTGCACTGAAAGTAAAGGGGCTGAATAATTTTGCACGCCCAATTATTCAGTTTTTTATTTGTTAACTGCATGGGAGATTAACATATTAATCATTAACATAGCATAGCATTAGCATAAACAAATTGGAACCTATCTGATAAATAAGATTTGAACCAACTTAGTGTGGTTCCTTTAATCTCGATAACATGTTCAAGTCTCTGCAATAAGATGTTATGATCATATAGTGTCAAAAGCAGCACTGAGATCTAGGAAGACAAGTATAGAGATGAGTCCTTTGAGGCTTGGAGAAGATCGTTGGTGACTCTAAAACCAGACTGAAAATCCTCAAAAAAATCATTCTTGTGCAGGTGGTCACATAACTGCTTCGCAACAGCTTTTTCAAGGATTTTAGAACTAAAGGGGAGATTGGATATTGGTCTACAGTATAATTATCCAGAACACCTGGGTCAAGAGTAGGCTTTTTGAGTAAAGGTTTAATTACAGCAACCTTAAAAGCCTATGGAACATAGCCTGTTAATAGAGAGAGGTTGATCAAATGTAATATGTTGTTGATTAGGGCTAAGATGTCAGGATGGGGTCTAAGAGACATGTTGATGATTTAGATGAAACAGTTGTTGAGGTCAACTCAAGAGATATGTATGGGAGAGTAGCAGTCTAAATATAAATTAGGTCTCTTTGTCAGCCTGGCTACAGTGCTGAAAAAAAACCTGGGGTTGTTCTTATTTCCCTCTATCAGTGATGAATAATATGTAGTTCTGGCACTATAAATGTCTTTTTTTTATATGTTATTAAACTATCTTTCCAGGCTAGGAAACACTCTTCTGACTGACAATCATCGTCTCCTCTCTCCCGTAGTGTGTCCTCTCTCTCTCCCTGTACCTTTCTGCAGGTAGCCCTGGCTCTGGAGCGGCACATTTCTGATGAACAGTCACCGGCTACATCAACCTGCCAAGTGCTTGATTGTTTGTTGTTGTATCTTGTTGCTTTTCTTTTTTCTCTCTCTCTCCTCTAGCCACTCACCCCAAACAGTCGAGGCAGAAGGCCACCCAAAAAGAGCCGGGGTCTGTCAGAGGTTTCTTCTGTTAAAGGGAGTTTTTCCTCCCCACTGTCGCCAAGTGCTGCTTAAGGGGGATTTGTTGGGTTTTTCCTCTATAATAATAATAATAATAGTCAAGTCTATATCTTGCTTTGTAAAGTGTACTAAGATGACTTTTGTTGAATTACTCTAAGCCTAACCTAAACCTAAGTCTAACCTGAACCCTAAAACCAAGTCTTAACCTTCACAAAGCCCTTTGAAGTTGAATGTCTTCAGAACAATGGTATAAAACAAAAATTTGTCCACACTGCAATAAAAATGTATACACATACTGACCTGTACACTGGAGAGTGTAGTGTGCTGGTAAGCCTTAAGAGCCAAGTAGTTGGCCTCGATGTCTATGAAACCCAGAATCATATATTTCCACCAGCGCTGCTTCAAAATGGCCAGCAAATTTCCTTCACCTGGTACAACATTGAGAGGGAGACACACAGGGAAGATAATGAAAATGCTAAAGCATTGGTATATACAGTATATGTGTACACTACCTATGTGTGTGTGTGTGTGTGTGTGTGTGTGTGTGTGTGTGTGCAGTATCCTAGCTGTTTCTGTCACTGCACTCTTCTGATGATGTTCCTGGGATCTGTTGCAGCCACTCTCCCAGCTAAGGAATAACAGTCCCAAGCTTCTTCAGATTCTCATACCCCTTTCTGAAGTTGCTGTGACTTGGAACTGCTATGTCTATCACCACTACCTCCTTCTGTTCATTGTCTACTACCACAATGTCTGGTTGGTTGGCCAGTACCTTCCTGTCTGTCGGGATCTGGAAGACCCACAGGATCTTAGCCCTGTTATACTCCATGACCTTCTGAGGAGTCTCCCATCTGGACATGGGAGGGTCTAGCACATACTCAATGCAGTTGCTGCCAGTCACATGGTTGTGCCATCTAGCAGATGCTGTTCTTGCCTGCATTTTACATCCTGTCACTATCTAATGGACTGTCTCTGAGGCTTCTTTGCACAGTCTGCACTTGGGGTCATGTCTGGTGTTGTAGACCCCTGCTTGGTTGATCTGGTACTCGGCACCTGTTCTTGTGCTGCTATGATCTGTGATCAGTGCCTCACTGCTGTCTGATAGGCCAGCCTTTTCCAGCCACTGATAGGATTACCCAGTGCCAGCCACCTCAGTTATCTGTTGGTGGTACATTCCATGCAGGGTGTTGTCTTGCCATGGCGCTTCCTCTGTTTGATCTTCATTCTATGCCTGCTGCTGTCTCAGACATTCTCTCAACAGGTCATCTCTGGCTGCCATCTTGCAGATGTACTCCTGGATGCTAAGTTTTATCCAGGACAGCGACTTTGACACTCACCAGCTCATCACCACCACTCATCCAGCTGCACTTCTATATATGACATCCCATTGTCCTCACTGTAGATCTGTTTCAGGTGGATCCATGAGTCACTGTCTCATACATACAACTTGATGTCATCCATGTTCATCCATGAAGAGGGGGGTGGCTGATAGTAGCTGCACATTTGAACTTCTATCCATAACCATACATACACACATGCATGCTCATCAACGTTCCCGTTAGCCGGTATTACCGGTTTTTGAATGGTAAAATTCATAAAAAATGTATAAATTAAAAATTTGCCATTCAAAATATCTGGTAATAATGCTGACATTTATGGGTTTAGCAAGTTGTATCCTGACCAGGCTACGCTAGCTAAAACTGACTGTGTTCTGTCTATGTCCAGAATGCCAGCAGAGAGACATCTCTGCATGTGGCAGGGTGCAAAGACTCACAGAGCAGTTTCCATGGTGACAACATAAGCAGATGCATGTGCCTATCATTGGTAGAAAGCGTCCAAAATGAATGTGATTATGAAAAGTTGTTTTTGTGGCTAAAACTGCATGAATGACAAAACTAAAGACTGGAAAATGTTTTTGTCCCAAGAAGGAAGGCCATGTCATGTTTATATTATTCCAGATAAAATATCTGGCATATCGACTCACTTTTCATAGACCTGTGTCAATAATACTGATCAAGTTTATCAGCAGTGAAGCTGACTGTTTGCATAGCAATTGCCTGTGTTTTTGCATTAACATAGCACATCTGCAAACAACATGATGATAATGTGTCATGCTAACGTTAACTGTGTGAGGAGGTTTCTGTGCTTTTAAGTTGAACCCATGCTGTCACTTGATGTAGCCAACACATAGTTCATTTCTCTAACTGTGGAGCTAACTTTGTGTGGAGGCTTGTTTAGAATAATTCTGATCACAACTGCTAGTTGTCTCAGTAGAGTTAGCTGAATTAAAGGTGGCATGTGTGATTAAACAATGTAGGCTAATGGTGCTATAATGTTACAAAGGCATGTTACATTACTATCAAGTCACCTCAAAACAGCAATTTCACATGTTTCCAGCCAGCTAAACACAGTGCTATCATTTTGGATACACAGTATTTGCACTGTATAACTACTGGGTATACATGGCCCTGATAAGCTGCTCTCAAATTCACTTCTTGTAGGGACTTCACATTGAATTCATTCACATTAGAATTCATTTACTGGAGACTTAACCTAAACTTATCTAAAATTCTGTGATTAACAGGTTTCAGTCATGTGCATATGCACACACACACATATAGTTTCTGGCTGTACCTTGCCTGACCGCCAGTGTGGTTGTGTAGACAAGAAACAGCAGGATGTAGTTGAGAAAGCTCTGGAACACTGGTGTGTTAGCGTGGAAGTCATTAGCCAGGTACTTGCTGATCAGACTGATAGCACAGATTAACAAGGACAGGACCTGACCCAGGGCCAGGGTCACCAACAGGTCCCTGAAGAGGACAGAAGAGATAGAGAAAGGCTCATCAGTGTTTTATTAAGGATGATTTTGCTTCTTGATCTTAAGGCAGTATACTATAATAATCTCAGTACTAACCAGTATTAGAACCTGACTGACACATGGCTGATAGCTTGTAGGAGCGGCACAAACCTAAATCATACAGTAGACTAAACACTCAACATTATCACCTTAAATGAAGGAGGACAGGGCCACTTTAGCATGAAGTACCCCACAACAGACACCTGAGTGAATATTTTGGGCCTTTACAGTGAGCTGCAGCTGTTTGTTAGCTGGTTAGTTATGACTCATTTTGCACAAATCTGAGCAACATGAGTTTATGTGCAGCACTTGTAGTGTTTGGTTAATTGTGACTGAAAGGTCAACCCAGTATCTGTCAAACTTTTTTATTCTTTGTGTATATGTACTGTATTGTGTTTGCATTCCGTTCCATTCGCTGCTTGTATGCAAGCTTGCTTTGTTCCATCTTCATAAAGGGATTATTACAGTAACATCCCTCTGTGGCGGCAACAATAACACAGTAACACACACACAGTGAAGTGGCCCTGATAAGCTGCTCTCAAATTCAACTTGCAGTCAAACAGCTAGTCCAGGAAAAAACAAGAGAGAACACCGACAAAATAAAAAAGATGGCAGGAAAAAGGTCAAGCTGTGTGTGTATTCTCATCCAAAGAGTGTGTCTGACTACAAAGGGAGTTTGCATAAACACTGAAGGTAAGGCAGGTGGATAGAGGTGGATGAGGCAGCAGAGACTGGACAGGA